TTAAAAATCTTTATTTGTTTAAATATAGTTTTAGTTATTCAGATGTTTCTCGTTGCTGTTCTTTGAATTATTGTCCCATTGAATTACCCCGGTTGGCTTTCAATAAAGATCTTTAATTCAGAGCTGATTCTTCCTCTTTTTTATTTTCTGGTGTTTATGAATCCAACAAATACAGCAATTTTTCCACATACAGAAGCAGCAAAAGCAATCTCTCCTGGATGTGGCCTCCTGAATGAGATGTAAAACTGACAGAAAGGACACCATCCAAGTTTCTTTGACAGACTTTTTTTCTTTTCTTTTTGGTTATCTTTGTCTTACATTAATATTTTTGATAAAATGATTTTGACTATATTCATATTACATGATACAGAATTTATCACTGTAGGTCAAGTTTGTATAATCTTTCATTTTTTATTTTAACATTATGCACACCACTTAGGGGATAATGGTTAATTGGAGCATTGTCTTGGTAATTTTGTATGTGTTTTTGGTCTTCTTTGATATCTTGTTTTGCGGGGTAGTTTGTAGAGATGAGTCAGTATCAGTGCCATATAATATATTTAAGAGTTCCTAACCTTTGCTTGATCACTGTTCTAGTAATTTAAGTATTGGATAATTGTTCCTATCTTTTATATCTAATATTAAGGAGACCATCCCTGTTATCAACCCTTGTCATGCTCCAGTTAGCCCAAACGTTGCACATTAAAACACTGCAGGGGTGCAGTCTCTCAATTATCTAAACAATTGAGTGCTTGCATTCAGATTGATGAACCAAATAAAAACCCCATTCCAGAATGCAACATACTTTATTATTCTGCTGCTTAAGTTTTGGTTGGATAAATCTATAAATATATAGATTGATATAGTGGCATTCCAGGGAAAGATGACTAAAAACACTGAAATAGAGTCCTTAAACAACGCTGTCTAAGGCTAACCTTTAATCTAACCACTCTGATACAGCAGTTAAAAACAATGTTTAAAAATGTTTTGCTGAACAAAAACAAAGGTGGTAGAGTTGCTATTGTCACGCCATGGAGGACTGCAGATTCTGCATCCGCTCTCTTTGCTCAATTAGGCCCTTTGTTTTGAAGCAATACTAAGTCCAAAAAAGCTGATCAACTTTCAACATGTTTATGTAAAAATATCACAGCATTTTATTTTTTTTAGCAGAGCTGGGCAAAACTGCCGTCTTGCTGATATTTATTGAAACAGATTTTCTGTGTGGGAGTCTTTCCAGCAGAGATCTATAAAACAAGTGAAAATTTTTATTCGAAAACAGTTGTTTTCATTTGATTACTTGCTGTTATATAATTTATAAATAATCATTGGGTAACATTTCAGTGAGCCAAAAAAAACTGTGATGAAGGCCAGTAATGGTTTAAACAAAAGTATATGGTTTACTGGCATTTTTTTTTTTTTTTTACGTTAAAATTAATTTATAACTTAGTAATATGGTTGTAATAATGCTGTTATGCTGGTCACAGAAATACACTTAAACATCCACAGCCTTGGAAAAACAAACTTGGGCTGGTTTTTCAACACTTCATATTTCAAACATTTCTCATAAAATTTGAATTAATTTAATCTGTCTGGTGATGAAAGAGTTAAACCCGTATTTAACTTTTGACAGCACACTGTCATGATCTGGCCTGTTTGCTCTCCCTTAATTAGTAATTCCTCTCACCTGCCCTCTTCCTTCCCTGCCTCATTATAATTTATTCCTCTCACCTGTTTCCTGTGGTTTATATTCAGTTCAGCCGGAGCATTCAGGGCCAGATCATTTCTTGTCTTTCTGTTAGTCTGTCTGTTTGTTTGTTTTTTGTCATGGTTCATGTCCTGGATCCTAGCTGCCAGTGGAAAGAGGGTTTTAGTGTTTGTCTCGTCTCCTGATCGTCCACTGTTCCTCCCCCGCGGAGTCCTCTGGGTTTTTGGCTCATTATGGGGGGAGGTTCAGTTTTTATCCAAGTAAGCCTGGCTCCAGGAAGGAGACCAGTTTAAAGTCCTGCTTCAAGTTCCGGTTCCTACGTCATGTCTCGGCTACCCTCTTCCACCTAGCCTGCCTGTCTGCACCTGATCCTGTCTGCTCCTGTGCGTGACCACCTGGTCATGCTTTCTGGTCCCAGTCAGACTCTGGACCCTCCTGGAAGCCTGTGGATGCCTGGAAGTCTGGATCCTGCCACCTGTCTCTGTTCCTGCTTGATCTGGATCCTGTCCGTTCTGTCTGTTCCTGCCTGATCTGGATCCCTCACCAGGATCAGCTTCCAGCATAACCTCTGGGACTGCAGCACTGGGGACACTCGTGGTCTGGACTGTTAAACCAGGTAAGTGACCAACCCAGATAATCATACATCAGTTTATCGTGGTCACTTACCTGTGTTTCCTCCCCTAGAGTGTCTGAGATTGGGCGGTGCCCCGCCCCCCCGCCTGCAGTGTCCGTGAGCCACAGCTTTGCTTTTGTTTTTATTTTAATAAACCTTTTGAACTTTCCTACTGACTGTCTCTCCTGAATACTGGGTCCATCTGTCCGCGATTCATGACACACACCCTCTGAACTACTTTATGATTCTCATCAACTTGACAGTGGGATGCCCCAAGCTTTTGGACTATGACACCTTCTCTTTGCTTCTAGAACTTGCTTCTTATGCAGATGATGGACTGTTAGTGTTTTTAAAAGAAATCTTTGTTGGATTTTGGTTTTTCACCTGGCTCTGTCTGTCTTTTAATCATTAAGTTGTTGTCATTGCATGTTCTCCATGCAATGACAACAACGCTATATTTAATCACAAAGTTAGCAAAAACGAAGCTTAAATGATTAAAAATAGAAAATATTATCCCAGCAGAAAGCTTAAGTTGTCATGCTGTAGGCAACCAGAGTGAGTTAATGGCGTATAAATAAATAAATAAAAAAAGTCACATATCGTGACTATGTAACTTTAACAAGTGTGTAAAACATACATATATAGCTTAAGTGTTTATCACCCCTCTGGCCAAACTATATGGTTTTTACACTTGAAAATGATGAACACCTGAATGACCCTTTAAAAGGTCTGAAAACAAGGAAGAAAAACCAACACTTTTTTTTACAGTTAGCTACAAAACCACTTTATTGAAAAAGCAGATTATGTCATCTACAGTTAAATGATACGTCCTGATTTTAATACATTAAATAACTTTAGACTTTTTCATGTTTAGATAAATAAATCTAGTTTCCTTTTTTCTTTTAAATGAATCATCTAGTTTATCAAAAACACAGAGCGATACAAAACCGAAGTGAAGGGTGTTGACATGTGCTTGTTGGAACTAACAGTACAAGTGTTTTCTTTCAAAGTGATTTTGATAGGAAACAAATACAAATAGAAAACTAGCCTCTTTATGAAATACAAACCGAAGTAGTACTTAAAAAAAAAGTAAATTAAGACATCTTTTAAAGGGATACAATCCATTGTATGTAATTGAATGCCGAAGTCTTCAAGTACAGCATACTTTACTTGAACCTTGCGAGGAAGGCGACGTCGAACATGCTGGAAAGTCTCACACACAATTTGCAGTCATTTTCTTCACTATACATTACATTCACATGATGACCCCTCCCTTCGCTCTCTGTTTTAAACACATTCAGTAGTAGATATTTACAACTGAGTGTATCACAGCATCACAGTAAGGGTCAGTGTATGCACACAATGGAACGTTTGACGCATCGGTTTCAGGAGGATGGAGATAAAAGCAAAGTGAGAAGTCGTAATCAGGTTTTTAACAGAGAGAATTGGGGTCATCCTGCTGGTTGCTGCGCTGCCCTGCAAACACAGTGAGGTTCATGGGCCTGCCACTAGAACACATAGAGTCTCTCACTATCACACACAAACACATATGAACAGAAACTGTTTGCTCTTTCATTTTCGTTTTCTGGTTTTAAACCGTTAATATCCGAGGAATGTTTTATAGAGAATCAGTATCAATAAATTTAGAAAATAATATTTCAAAAACTTTTTTTTTTGTAACCTCTGATGTAGTTTCTTCCTCCGGACACACACAACACACACGCATACTGCAACACATAAGTGCCTGTGATCACGATAACAGAAATAACAGAATCAGCAAGGATGGGAGGGGATTCCTTAAAAACACCCGGCTGGGACCAGCAGCTCCGTGATGTCAGGTATCCCCTCTTCCCACGTAACACATCAGCAGACTTCATGCAGAACACAAAGGGACATGCAGGTGCACCTCAAAATATTAGAGCATCATTGAAATGTTTCTTTATATTTTACTAAAAAAATACTTTATGAAAAGCTGAACTTATATATAGACTCATTACACAGAGTGGCAGAATATGTCTGACTATATTTATGGTATTTATAGTCACTACGTATGACCAAAAAAGGAAAAAATGGATATTAATGTCATGTATTAATGTCTGTATGCAGTTACTGCTTCGTAAGAAATAACTGCTGCATTAATGTGGCATGGCAAGGAGGTGACAAGTCTTTGATGATCCTGGATTGCTTATAAAGTACACTTCTTCCTTCCACTCGACTTTCCATTCATATATTTTGATGCACTTCTCTGGGAAACAGTGAGCTCAGTCAAAATCTTATTCTCATATTTTCTGAGAAACCAAATGTAGGTTTTCATTATCTGAAAGCACCCAATCATACAGTTCAAATATTCAAGAATATTTAAGCATATTAGTGGAAAGTTAAGTGGAAGAACAACATATGCTTCCTTCACTCCTCTGCGCCGCTACATGGCAATTACCTCCTTGCTTATTCATTCATGGAAGCATTTAAAGCATGTTTTGTGTAATACATAGACATGCTTCTCATTAGGTGGCTGTCTCAAAATAAAAAAAAAATCTTTAATCATTAAAATAAAATAAATAATAGCTGGTAATATATCCCTTTGTGTATTGAATGTAAATATAGGCTTCACCTTTCAACTAATTTACTGAAATAATTTAACTTTGCTATGAATTTCTAATGAAATGAGATGCACCTGTGAGGACAATAGTGAACCTGCCTAACTTTTATGAAAGCATGCAGTTTGTTTCATCCAACTTTAAGTGGCTTTATTAACATAGATTTAATGAAAGAAGCTGAAATCTAAATGAAAGGAATTCAGAGTAATATGTTTTTTCATTAATATTTTAGACAAAACATTAAATTAGATCCAGTTTCTGAATTTAAATTGTAACAGAGAGGTGCAAAATCCTGCAATGTGTTTAAAATCCTTTTTTTTTTTGGTTCACATCAGCTTAATGTGGATAAATCTGTTTGAAAGTAACACAATGAGCTCTGTGTAAGAACGTCAAGTGGGATGAAACAACAGCATTTTACAATCTGCTCCAGGTGGATCTCTGCCTTTCTGACAGACATGAAGAGACTGTAGGAAAATGAATACGACAGACCGAGAAACTGCAGAGGTTTTAGCTACACCTCCGATTTTCGTCACGCTCACAGATACGCTTACATAAAAAAATACAATCTACATCTAAGACTTTTATGTGGAAAACGTCTGCGAAATATATATTCATATATAAAAAGACGACCTATGTGCAGCTAAAGTTTTCTTTCTCTCCATAATATAAACATTAACCATTAATTAAGACAATGCTTGTGAATCTCTGGAGGTGTCCTGTTGGACATCTATGTGGAATGTCAGTCGGGTTCTCTGGGCTTGCGGTGCTACGTCGAGGCGTTGCAGAGTAGTTGTTCTCACAGCCGTTCGTTTGTCCTCACAGCCCTGTGTCATGGTGCCGGGTGTCCTTTGCATAGCCTTTTTTCAGGGCTCTCTTTCAGTGTTAGCAGCTGCACAGAGAGAAAATCGTTCTGAAGGCACCAACCACCCGGTTCAGCCAACACCGGTATGCAATGTCTCCTTTCCTCACTGCAGCGTTCTCAGCCGCGACAGCTCTGCTGTGGAGCTCTTCAGTCAGAATACAGGAAGTCCAGGAACTCTTACCTTAAAAAGGTCAAATAAAGGTGTGAGGTCGCTTGGGCCTTTGGGGTTAACCTGCTTTCAGGTTATGCGCCCTAATTCTAAGATGGAGGAGAGGAACGTGAATGGTATTCCTTTCTGTATTTGGGGTTTACCGCAGCGTTCCAGATTTTCCTTACAATGGCTTTCCCACAAACGGAGGCCGGAGTGGGAGTCCGCACCTTTCCACCCCACTTCTCGTATCCTGGATTATCAAGGAGGACAAGCTAGGTCCCCTTCTTACAGTTCAGTCACATGAAGGGGGTAGCTCGGTGGCGGGTGGGCAGGCAGCTTCGACTGGAGTCGTTGGATGTGGCAGCTGTGGCAGAGAAGGTGACCTTCTAGGGGATAACAGCGGTGACCCTCCTCATCGTTCAGCTGGAGACCACAATCCTAATGGAAAACACGAACATCCAACAAAGATGGTGAATAAACACATTTGGAATGAGCTTCCCTGTTTCTACCTGATAGAACTGTTCCACATTCCACCGACACAATAGCTGCTTTTCTATTCTCTATAACGCTCCTGTTTGACAATTTAAGACTACTTAAAAAAATATAAAGGAATCCCTCTTTGAACTTTTGTATCTGGAAAACATTTTAGTTAGAGTTACCGCTTGACTTTTTTTTTTCATATCTCTCAGTATATTTTAAGGCACACGGAGAGAGGGAGAGAACACTTTTTTGTCTTTGCTATCAGGAAATCCTGACAGTCTGGATAAGTCACAGAAAATGACACTAAATGCACTTTTTTTTAATGAAGATTTGGGTCTTAAAGTTCTGTGGTCTGAGCTTATGAACAGCCTGTTAGAATTTAATGTTTTTTCACAAGAAGCTGTTCAATAAACTTTCTCTTTTTTTTTCTTTTATTGCCTCAATCCCAAGTTTTTTTTCCTATTTGCATATAGGAGTTCTACTTAGAACATTTTTAAGATCCAACAGTGCACGATGGGAATTATTGCCAATTATCAACTGGTCTTAAATCTTTGATGAGGGTAGGTAAGTATTTAATCATTTTTAACATAAAAAACCACAAACATTTTTGCCAATTTTTCTTCACAGAAAATCTTGAATAATGAGTTTCTGTTCACATATTAGTCTTTGACTGGGCCATTTTATCACAGAAAAAGCTTTGATTCACACTATTGCAGCTCTGGCTGCCGGTTAAATGTCACTGATCTGTGAAAAACTTCACCTTATTCTGAATTCTTCTAAATTTACTATTATGTTTCTTTCTGTTAGGTCAGATCAGCTTTATTACTGCAGAGGAAAAGCATCCCCAAAGAAAGATGTTTTAATCACAAATACTATTTGTGTGAGCATGCTGAAAAAGTTTAGGTGTGGTTTCATCTGAGCTTAGCACCTTAACCAACGGAGTTGCTGCATATTCTAGACAGAAACCTGTGGATTTTTTTCAAGAATAGAAAAACCAAAGAGACAAACTGTAGGACTAAAAATGATCCCGCCACGTGGGCAAATAAACCTGCAGGTCCAAACCGCCTGTTTTGGTACATTTGTAGCTGTCTCATGCTCTTTCTATTTTTAAATCATAGTTCCACGTCTCCCTGGGTTTCTCCCTGTGATTGCAGCATTTCTACTTTGCAGTACTTTTTTTGTTTTGTATTTATGTATTATGCAGTGTGTTTGCACCCCTGGGCCGTGCACTGATGCCTTCACAGAACAGCTGGATTTATACTGAGGTAAATTTAAAGCAAATGTAGAAAAACCCTCTATTAATGCTGAAGGTAATTGTTTACACTTGTTTTTTTTTAAGGGTATTAAAATAGAAGCAGGTGAAAACAAAATGTAACATGCTTTTCAAATCTTAGCAAAATGAAGGAAAAACGTGAAAACATTTGAAATAGTTACAAAGTAATTTTTGCACAGCGCTGGGATGGGAGAGTGCAATGTAACATCTTCCTGTGGTAGATTTTCTGATGACTAATATATCAGCATCGTCCAGAATTGTTGGACATTTTGAAACATAGGCTGATGTTAACAAATGTTTATTTCCATCCTGCTTCTACTCATATTCCAGGAGCTTTAAATGATATTCACTTATCCTGTGACTCTGCTATACAGTTTTAGTTTTGCTTAATCTAACGGCTGCTATCAATCAATCAATTCTGACACGGTTGACCATCATTATCTAATAACATGCCTGATTAAATTAATAGGGATCCAGCAAACCAACATATTCTCATTATGAGTGCGTATGAAATCGTACGAAAAGTTATGCACACTATTTGGTACGTTTTGGACGTTTTTCCTCAAAAAACCACATCAGTGCGCATGCGCTGGCAGACAGAAAAAAAAAGCAGATCCGCGGACGGACGTAAAAATGGGAAAAACAGTGCAATAATCAATTATTCATGTCTCTAACTACGTTGCTTGCTGTTTTATATCTTAGGGTTAGGGCTAATTGTTATTTATATTCTATATTCGTGAATGGTGTTTCAGATGCGCATGCGCTTACGACGAAAAAAACGTCCAAAACATACGAAATTACGGTGCATAACTTTTCGTACGATTTCATACGCACTCATAATGAGAATAGGTTGAGCAAACTGCTCTTTATTGGTTCAGGTCATATCTGACCCATCGATCGTTCTGTGTTAAAATTGTCAACGCTGAATCATCTAGTGCTTCTCTGTCCTATGGGATCCCACAAGGATCAATTTTAGGGCCCCTGCTCTTTTTATTTGCTGCCACTCGGTTCAATACTGACAAGACATGGTATTGATTTCCATTTTTATGCTGATGGCTGCCAAATGTATTTACCACTTAAGCAGGGAGATGGTTTTTCAGTGATGTCTTTATTGAACTGTTTAGATGACAGTAAAGCCTGGCTGGCCCTGAAGTTTAAATTTTATTGAGAAGAAAACTGAGGTTATAGTGTTTGGATCTAATAGCCCTTATGATTCCACTGCTATAGAACTAGGACACCTGACACCATATTTTAAACCGACCGTCATGAACTTGGGTTTTAAGGTGAGCAGTGATTTTAAATTGGGAAAGCAAATTGGAGCAGTTGTCAGATCTTGCTTTTATCAGTTAAAGGAATAGTACACCCAAAACATGATTAGCCTTCATTTTCTACTCACCCCCATGCTGAACAACACTCTGGAGTACTTTTTTGATATCTCAAATGCATCTGGAGATCTGGGAGGCTTCTTGCTGTGTGCTGACATTCAAATAATGGAGGTCTATGGCGCCCGAGGCAGAAAGGTCCATAAAAGTCCACAAAAAACGTGTCAATATTCCTCCATACTGCTCGTCCAATGTATTCCAAGTGCCCTGAGTGGGTAGCATCCAGAATTTACTCAAAACGAAGTCATTTAGAATGTTTTTAGAGCATAAACAGTAGTGTATAGGATTTCCTGAAAGCGCACGCCTGCACGTTCACGACGCTACGGAAACCGGCAGACCAAACCAGATGAAAGTGCGCATTCAGCGTCTGCTCTGCCGATAATGCAAGCGTAGAAGAAGAAATGTGCTGTTTACCTGTGCAAAGAAAGAAACAACGAAAGAAAAATGTCTGAGGACTTCAGTGTTGAGGAAGAGCATGAGTTCTTTGCCGAGCTGAATGCGTACTTTCATCTGGTTTGGTCTGCCGCGGTTTCCGTAGCGTCGTGAGCTCGCAGGCGCGCGCTTTCATGAAATCCTATACACTACTGTTTATGCTCTAAAAACATTCTAAATGACTTTGTTTCGAGTAAATTCTGGATGCTACCCACTCAGGACACTTGGAATACATTGGACGACAAGTATGGAGGAATATTGACACGTTTTTTGTGGACTTTTATGGACCTTTCTGCCTCGGGCGCCATAGACCTCCATTATTTGAATGTCAGCAGACAGCAAGAAGCCTCCCAGATCTCCAGATGCATTTGAGATATCAAAAAAGTACTCCAGAGTGTTGTTCAGCATGGGGGTGAGTAGAAAATGAAGGCTAATCATGTTTTGGGTGTACTATTCCTTTAAGACAATTGGCATAACTAAAACCTTTTCTTTCATGGCTGCCCTTTAAAACAAATATCCATGCTTTTATTTCATCTTGATTGGATTATTGTAACGGACTCTATGTTGGTGTGTGTCAGTCTTTGCTGTCTCAAATAAAGATGATGATGAAGTCATCATGTGGTCTGAGATGGGAAATGTGACAGTGATTGTGGTGTTGGCTGTAATTGCAGTATTACTTTGGCTATTGATATCTACCCAGATTTTCTTATTAGTGCGTCCCTATGATTCATGCTGGAGCTCATTTCTCTGTGAGTTTACAGCGCTAACAGGATTCAAGCGGAGAGGGAAAAAAAAGCTCGTAAATACAAAGTGAATGAGGTTAGAACCCCTTGGCTGCATATTTTCATCATTTTCATGAATGAATGCAAAAGCCCAGAACCTGCTGAGCAGCCAGGATTACTCTTTAAACCCCCCCCGCTGAGAGATCACTGAACAAGCTGCAGGAATAATAGAAACCCGTGACTCTGGACAGAACAAAAAGAGCAGAATGCATTAACTGTAAGCATGTTTTAAATTTTAATGTGTAATCATACTTTATACTGTGTCCAATGTAAATCAAGGCTTGTGGTCATTTTCACAATATCTAATGAATTTACAGAGTCCTGAATGATTAAGCTGCAGACTTCAACCTCTTCCTGCAGGACTTGGTTCAATGATTGTCTTCCGCTTAAAATATAATCCATCTGTTGTTACATTAGCAAGCCTTAACCCACTGCGTCTGCTGACAGTGATAGTAAAAAACTTATTTCAATAGGAAATTGAAAAAATAAAATAAAATAAAAATAACAGCAAGCTGGCTCGATTTGATTATTTCCCTCCAATTATTTTTGTCATTGTTGAATAACAAAGTTGGTGCCTATGAAGATGGAAGATGACTGAGGTTTCACAAGAACGGCTGGAATGATGATCAGCTTGGAGTAGTGTCTATAACTGTGAATTATTCTCACGGGCTGCAAAAATCTAGTCCTTATTGACAGTTTGCAGTCCTCAGACAGGCTGACAATGTTGACTTAGTGGATGTGTGAGTGCATTTGCTCTTTGTTTGTTTTTTATTCATTCCAGCAGCCAGAAGAGCTGAATCATACCCAGTCATACTAGAGATCATCCAGTCTGGTCTTGCTACTCGTGTGTGTGAATGAGGACTTTGTCTCACCTCACAGTGGTAACACTCCACATGGTAGTCCTTGTCCATAGACACGACCCGGATGGTTTCCTCAGAGCCCTGCCAGAACAGAGTCATAGTCAGGGTTTCTCCTTTGTTGGAGCAGCTGTTTTATTAAAGTAATGAAGCAACTTTCCAAAAAAAGAAACCCCTCACTATCTTTAAACCAACGTAAAAGTAAAACAGCTCCTCTCTGCTGACACACAACAGTTAATAAACCGTCTGGTGACAAAGTCTGAAGGATATCAGCTCAATCGGATATAAAAACTTAAATATTCGTAAATAATAGTAAAATTCCTAAAACATTAAAGCAGATAAGACACTCAAAGTTAATCAGAAAGAGGCTCAAAATAAACTCAAAGGCAGATAAGAGATAATATATTCCGAAAGTTTCATTTTTTGTGATTTTTTATGTGGTTCATTTGGGCTTTAAGAGAAAGAGAGAGATTACTCTTCTGCCTTCTCTAGAACTTTTTCAAATGTTCACTTCTAAATTATGAACTCTGCTGTAAAACATTGATAAAACCAACAGCATCTGCTGCTGACAAGGAATGCCTTGAATGCTTTAGCCTGAGCTCTTCTTTCAAATTTAACTTCTAAGTCAGTTCAAAGAGGAACATAAATTGGCCACAAAATTCTGATCAGTGCGTCTAATTTTCTTATATAAGATGGATAGAGTTGTAGCGACAAAACTACTACTAGCAGTTATCTGTTATTGTTTACTCATTTCTATCCAGCAACTTTTCAGTATTTGGTGGAATCTGACCAAAGAATATTGTTAGGTTTATTTAATGATGATTATAAAATGAATGTGTGTTTATGAAACATTTGTGCGAGGGGATGTTCCACTCCTGTGTCATGATTCAGTCAGGAGTCCATCCTGCCTTGTCATTCTGATGGAGCATTCTGTCTTCTGCAGAAATTCTATCCATAATTGTGTATTTCAGTTCTTCCTTTTTCAAAAAACCTACATTTTATGAACCCGACAAATATAATCATGCACCATTCAGATTCTCCATTAAACTTTAAAACCTCCAGATAAATGCCTGCAAAGAATATATTGTGCTTTATTTAATGCAATATTCTAAGACTTTCCAAACATTATTTCCTGTATATTCTGTTAAACATTAGTTTTAAATTAATTTATCTGTTCCAGAACTGCTCCAGCTCTTACTGCTCTTCATTCACATCATTAAAAATACAAACATCAACCTCTGAATAAGCTGTAATTGCTAAATCCATTTGTCTTGGTGACTAAAATGCCAACATGGTTATTTCTGCACAGCTAAAATAATCAGATTTGTTTTCTTTTAATTTCCTGGATGGGCTTAACAACCTGTCTCTCACTTTCTTCATTTTAAGCACATGTCATCACTCTGAAACCCTCCAAACAAACCTGTAAGCATTTTCCCAACCGAAAATCTCTGAAGCAAAGTATAACTGTACTACGTGACCTGAATACAGTTCATATATTCATCAAACTTGATGCAGTGCTCTTTAAATTGGCCATTCTGGCTCTGAGCTTTAGGCTGACTGAACTCTTTTCAAAGCCACTCCTGCTGTATACAACTCATGAAATGTGGACATTGCTTCAGTTAATTGGCTCTAATTGTAATAATCTGTACAGAAAATACATTAAACCGCCGAATCTTTGTTGCAGCAGCAAACTTTGACCCCCAAAACTAAAGGCAAAGGAAATCTTCAGCTAAGAAAATCTAACTGTAGGGTTGTTTGGTTTCTCTGAGGACTGCATCCATGCTTAGTGTTCCTCCATGCCTTTCCAGGGTGTACCCTGCCTCTCGCCCAATGACCGCTACAGATAAACACCAGATCCCTTACAACCATGGATGGAAGAGTAGGAGTAGCAAACGGATCCTTTTCCTTACAAAAGACAGAGTTGACTTTACCATTCAGGTTAATTGTTTACATTTTTTCATTTAGTAACTAATGGCTCCAAGACGATTATTTCCAGCAGTGTTTCCTTAAAAATGGGAAACACAAGAGAGCAGGCCACTCACGCAAAGCAGAAACATGTTGCTCTTCACTACAAAGGAAAGTGCTACAAGCAAACATCTGCTCTGATAAACAAACCTAAATATACAGGAAGAGTTATTACTCATCATTCTACGATCAACGTTCGTACTATATAGCAAAACCATTTTGAAAAGCAAAGTTTTTCTGCAATCATTGAAATGTTTAACTCTCTTTTTTTATCAAAGGTGAATAGAAATCCTTGAAGTATAACTAGCAAAGAGAAGCACCATGTTTTCTATAACACATTATTGTTTTTTTCTCCTGTCTTTAACAGCGAGTGTTAATTAGCAAGGCTCACAGTGAAAAAAAATAAAATAAAATTTGATGTTTTTAACTTAACAGACTATGGAAGAGGATTAGGGCCACTGAAAAAAAAAGTAAACTGATTTTAAAATTTTATTTCAGTTTAACATGGGGAAAAAGTCAGAATTCTGAGATTAAAGTCAGAATTCTGACTTTTTTCTCAGAATTCTGACTTTATTCTCAGAATTCTGACTTTTTTCTCAGAATTCTGACTTTTTTCTCAGAATTCTGACTTTTTTCCCATACTATACTGAAATAAAATAAAAAAAATCAGTTAACTTTTTTTTTTTTTTTTCAGTGGCCCTAATCCTCTTCCGTAACAGACTCCCCAGAACTGATTAAAAAAATAAAATTAAGATGACTGTTTTTGTATCTTTACCTGGGCTGGAAGGATGGGCTGGTTGCATGAAGCACACTTTGGAGCAAAAACCCTGGATTGGAGGAGACCAGAGGAGAAAACATGAGCCTCATTAATATCTGTGTGTTCCTCTATTAGTCCATTACTACTCCTAACCAGCACAAAATGGACTCCCAACACCAGTGGCGGTTATAGATCTTAAAGGGTGGGGCAGTGTGGTTTCACGGGGGCACAGAAAAGCATGAAATAAAAATCAGGGCAACAGTTTAACATTTAAAATACATTGACAGAGCTGCAGAACTAAAGATCTGCTTGTGGTTCTGCAATGAATGAAGTGAAATTTGTACATGATTGAGTTTAAATAAAATTGCAATGTTTTCTCAATAAAATTTTTTTATTTTTTTTTTACTCTGAATATAATATCAAAAAGCTGAAATAATGTGTTGCTAAATAAATAAATATCTACTTGAAGATGGTTTTAATATTTTTTTCTGGAGTATTAGGTCAATGTAAAACAATAGTTCAGGATTATTACATATTTTAACTTTTCTTTAATGAAAATTACCAATTTTAATCAAATAAAAATGAGCTGTAAAAAATTAGTGTATTTTTTTATTTGGTTCAAAAAAGATGTAAAATAGAGATTCTGTCTTAATGCAAGTAAAGGTTTCGACTTAATTTTAAAACCAACAGAACTTTGAAAAAGAAAATGACATGGATACAAGTGGGATCTATCAGAAACTTTGTCTGCCTTAGTATATCATCATTATAATCTCTTTTAACATAATGTCTTCAGTACAGGGGGCATAACAGGGGCCAGGACCAGTTCTACAGGGGCACTGGCCCTTGTTGGCCCCCGTCTAGAACCTCCCATTCCCCACACATCACCTTCTTGGCGTTATCAACCCTTCCTAACTGCAGCAGACGGTGGTATTTTCCTTACGTGTGGTAGTCTTTGACACAGTAGATGTTGTTTTCCACATCTACAGTGAAAGGCACTCCGTCTAAGCCCTCTTTGCACACGACGCAGCGGAAGCAGCCCGGATGGTAGGACTTGCCGAGCGCCTGGAGGATCTGAGCGGCCACACAGAGAAAAAGAAACAGTCAGACTCAGTAGGTTATTATCCCTTCCCACAATTCAATATTTTGTAGAAACACTTTTTGCTGCTAATTGCAGCAGAATAATGCATTTTATGATTTATCTTATTACCAGTTTCCTTCATTTTTAAGTTCTTTAAAACTCTCTACAACTTCATCCCTGACCAACCCGCCAACAGCTGTATTAACACTCTGCACTGACTTAGCCAGTAATATGCAGTGAAATGTATTAAAGGTAGGAGACTATGATAGATGCTACTCTTTTTAAATTTTTCTATCTTTTTTTTTCTGTTGGTCTGTTTCACAAAATCCTAATAGATCCACTGAAGTTTGTTGTTGGAAACGGCAAAAACGTGCAAATGGGTGTTAAGGGGTGAATGCTTTTTTCAAGGCACTGTCTATTTAAATATCTTCTCAAATGAAGAGAAAAGGTTCCTACCATCTCCATGATGAGGTGACCACACACAAAGCACTTCTCAGCCGTCTGCTGGAAGCCGGAGTACTGTGGGGAAAGATGAAGAGCAGTATTTACTTCCTTCAGCTCAAATAGATGGGTGGGTTTTTTAACTGCATCAGCAAAAATATCTCCTAACCACCTATAGGGGGAGCTCCTGCGCTCTTTCATGAACAGGTTGTGTTTCTAAGCCATCATCTGTTACAGGAAGGGGTTCTGCTGTTACCATGTTGGTACTTTTTCACTTCCAGGGAATCAAATTGAATGGATTAAGTGTCATTTAGGGTTATTGTTATTAAAACACCCTACATCAGTCTGCTAGTTCCTTCCAGAGCTCCGTTAGATATTAAAAGTGACCATCTGCAGCACACAGATCCCCCCCCAGCACCCCGAGGTCATGACCTGATGACACTGAGGGCTTGACAGAGGAGACACAGCTACCAGGTGGAGGTGGGAGGTGGTGACGCTTCTCCAAATCAACCATCTGCCACCGACCAACCAATCCCCCGCAGCCTACAACCCCCCCCCCAGGGAAGCGTGGTCAAGTCTCAGCCACAGGAGGGAGACGGAAGGCGATTAGTCTCCATCCCGTCTACTGGCCTGCAGCACCAGCCGGGTGGTGATGGTGTGCTGCAAAACAGGAATTTCAGTGTTTCCTAACATATCAGCGGGTTAATCTTTAAGCGGAAGCTGTCCAGAAACAGGAAGTGTAGTCAGCAACATGTGTTATGTGTTCAACGAGATCAGGAGGCTGTTTTTGGGAACCGTCGGGTGCATCTTCCTCTGTGGGCTGAATTCCCCTGCTTTACTTTAGAAGTAGAAGAAGTAAAAGAAATTCAATTTTTTTTGTTTTCACTCCAAACTTTTAAACAAACGTGAGTCCAGGCACCATGACTGCGGTCGCTGTGTCTGCCCTGCTAATCTGAAGCAGATGGAGACCGGCGGTTGTCCAACAACCCCTCTGAGCTGTCTGTGGTGAGAATGAGCTCCTGGGGGAAACTAGGTGAATTTGGTCTAAATTGGGGGGGGTTGGTGCTGGAATTTCCAGGTCCAAATTTGCACCTTGTGTTACTCCCCACCATGAGGTTAAATTCCCAAATGTGAACGAGGACCAACTCACCAAGAAGTCTTCCTCACAGTACACCTTTCCATTGACGTTGTAGAAGGCCTTCCCTCGCAGCCTCCTCCCTGGAAGAAACCACAAATGTATTAGGAAAGAAAATTACATTACAGTCATTGAGGAGTTTATCCGTCCCCAACAGCTCGTGGACATTTTTTACCATAAAATGAGAATGTTAAGTAGCTCCTTGATCCAGCTGTTTCGGACCAGAGACTCATCTAACATTTGCTGAACGTCGACCTTTGAGGTCAGGATTTTGACAATTTGGCCCTAACACAAACATATTTTAGGGATACCACCTTCCAAAGAGCCATATCCAAAAAAACACTTGTAACCCGTTTCATTGCCACATCCCATCCGCACAAGGTACCTCCAAGCTTACAACCTCATCCTTCTGCAGTACACCTACTTATATGGCAGGCTGGACTCTTCCAACACTTTAAAACCAAACATTCAATTTACTAAAATATTTTAAGAGAACTCAATTTTCATCAACTTGTTGTCAACCCTTTATAGGGCAAGTTACCGTTCTTGAGCAATTGAGTCCCCCCATCCCTCAGTAAGGTCTAGAAGCACAAGATCTATATCCAGCCATTCAGAAAAAATACTACTACTTGTTATTTTTGCATTTGACCAATTAGATAAACCCTTGAAATGATGTATCAGCATAACTACTGCAAATTAAGTTGAAAAAAAGTTAACAAGTCAAGAAAAAAAAGTAAAAAGCTAAGCAAAAAAGTTCAAAAGTTAATAATCTAGGTTAAAAAAGTTAAATCGTAAGTACCTATATCAGCATTAATGCAATAGGCTTTCACTCTGTGATTGTTTTCATAAATTTGTTATAAAATTTTGGTTATTTTTTTTTATATGTTAGAGCAAGCGACCACTTCTTGTTATTACACCTCAACTTGAATGTTACAAAAGTAACTCATGGCTTGAAATTTAGATTTTTAAAGTATTTCAATGAATGCCCTATAAAGAGTTGAAACTCATCTAAAATAAGTAGTGTGAGCTATTGGGCAAAATATCCTTAAAAAATATATTTAATTCCATGCAAAAAAAGTTAAATGTTTGAAAGAGGTGGTAACCTGCTCAGATCAACAATAGTCAGGTTGATGTTGCTATCAGATCTGTTCAATGGTGGGTAACAGTTTAATCTGACCTGCTGCTTTATAAGTTATATTGATTGTGAGTTTTGGCAGTTTAATCATACTTTCTATGTATGATCTCACGTTGATTTTGCACAGTTTCTATCTTAGTCGGTTAAATAACCTGCTGCTGTCATTTTGCACATCTCTGATGTTGCTGCTATTTTTAAATATCCATTACTGTAAAAATGTCCATAGCTGCATATTGGTTATTTCCCAGGTGCACTTTTATATTGTTAAAACACTTTATAGTACAGTATTTTATTATTCATCTTTTAACTCTTCATTATTATGTTCTTCTTATATATTTTTCTAAGGTCAACATTGGTGACCATTTTTTCTATAATCTTTTTCTCTGCTGTGAACACCAGAATTTCCCCATTGGGAGACAATAAATGGATTTGCTATTCTATTCTATTCTATTCTATTCTATTCTATTCTATTCTATTCTATTCTATTCTTTAAAGCTGGGCTTAACAAGCGTGCACTGGACTCAATCAACCAACCACAGATGTTTTTAGTGAAAGTAACACAAAAGTTTTATAAGCATAACTTAAAAGTTCTTTTGTAATCTTTTTAGAGTAATCTGGAAATGGAAATGGATCAACTTTAAGTAAAGTTGGTTTATTCGAAAGTAAAAATAACTTAAAACACAAAAATACATATTTTCAAAGTACTTCCCAACACATTAAAGTTGACTCCCTTTTCTGAGGTAATCCCCATCCACATACATTGATTCCATTCTTACTCAGCTTTACAGGGAAACAGTTGAAGAATATTAACTGATTGAATTTAGGCGATTTAAAATCATTTGTGTTGATGGCCGGTAAACAGGTTCAAAAGTTTGGTGGCTTGAGTTTTTTTCTTGATAAAAGAGGAGGGATTGATGCAGAGTCACACCCTAATTGATTTTAACTGAACGGAGTGACGTAGCTGTATATTTTCTTTATACAACTTAGAGCTACTTGTCTTACAAAAAGTTTTCACATTAAACCTTCAGTAAATCTGTGCAATATATTGTAAATCGAACTGTAGAAATGACCAAATCCTTCTCAGCTGCAGATAAACAATGAGATGGTTACAGCCTTACCACACACACATATATATATATATTATTTTTTTCATCCACTGTTATCTTTATACAGCAATCTCAGGTAAACAGGGAACCATATTATGTTTAAATCTAAATCAGTTATGGTTCAGAAACAGTACCAGCAGACACGGCGTCCTATTCTATCACTGTTTAATGCCTGAAAAAGCTGACAGTAAAACAAAAGTTTAGTTCCCCTTTGCTTTATGTCCCTGCTAGTTTAGAGCAGCTATAGTTATTATGTTTGTTTGCAGTTTATCAGACTTCACTGCATGTGTCTGTGTGAATGACCCTGCAGCAGCAGGATCAGGGCAGAGCAGATGGTTTAGAGGGGAAATCTGTGATTTTAAGTGTTTATTTACTTAATGCTACCATGAGCTTCATCAACATTTAAACAAATCAATACAACATACACTTTATTTACCCAAACGTCCTGCTTTGTCGTTTTCCTGCTAATGTTATTAAATGCTAGATATCCCAGCAATGATGGATGTGACAAAGGAGACATTCCTGTAAAACCTTTGAGTCATATTTCAACTTCACTGCTAAAATGCGTTTTTTTTAAGCTGCCATTTCCGATCCGAATGCTAGCTTTTGGCATCACGGCTTTGGTGTTTAAAAAAACATGCAAGTAGCGGCTCATTGCGGCTGGGTTTCTACTAGTGTGAAGACTGAATTCCTGTGGCCGGGCTTTCATTCACCAGAATCCAAGTGTGAACCCAGTCTTAAAAAAAAAAAAAAAAAAAAAAGTACTGCTAGCTGGCTTTTGCAGCCCCCCGCCATGCATCTCACACAACTAGTCTATTGAAATTCATGTACCAGCGACCGTGTTTCTCTGGCAGCACGATAACTTCACCCAGAAGCCTGGCAGACGAAACCCATGGATCCCATAAATCTGCTGGATTAGTCAGATTTAATTGTATTCAAAAGTCACCACTGGTTTTATTGGTCTTCCACTATGGACACCCCCTCTGCGTTCACAGCCACCCACTCCCATCTTTCTTGGTTTTTAATAATGAAATAATGAAATCTGCTAACAGAAACTTGAGGAGGGATGATGTTCGCTCAATTTGTGGGAGTTGTTAGATCACCTTTCCTTTTTTTGTTTGTTTCAGAGCCTTTTTTTGGGAGCAGAAAGTCTGGCGGGACAGCGTCCTGAAAAGTGAGAGAGTGGCTGTGCTCTGCTCACCACTTTCTCAGAGGTCTGGTCTGTGGCCTCTGCGCTCCAGTTTGGGCTCTAGAAGGTGAACACAAAGGCCCCAGTTCTGATGACTGTGTGGAGCGCTGCTAGGGGAGCGGGACGACTGAGCAAACGGGGACATTCTTTCTGTCTGAGGTCACTAGCTGGTCCCATTCAGCCCCCCCACCCCTGCACCTCTCCAGCACCCGCTTCCCTAACTGAGAATAACGGAGAAAGAAGAGGGGGTGGAGGGCTCCGTGCCTTCTTCTCCCCCCATCCCTGTGGCCTTTTGTCAGCAGACAGCGCTACAGAGAGGCTGAACATCCTCAGTGTTTCAGGGGGATACTAAAACTATCAGCTCCGTTAAGAATTTACAATCTTCTAGGAGCTCGATTTAAGAACTAAGCCCTTCTTAGTACTTAATGCAATTGGTTTAAATCCGGGATCAGACATTTCTTGATCAAAACAGAAATACTGCTAGAGTTCAACATTGACTCTTACTTTTTGTCTTCTTATTAGAAGCAGTTTCTCTAAATTTAAACCTAGAATATATAAAATATGCATGACGGACGTTAATTGATGCATCAAAAATGACAAAAAATTAATAACCAATGAAACAATTACGACTGATGGAGATCACACATCTAGCCAAAAAAAAAGTCTCTTACTATTTCCTACCTCTGTTATGAACTCCTTTACAAACCACTACACCATAACATGTACTTTTCACAATGACAAACAACTTAGTGTACTTTGTGATTAAGTATTTTTGTGAGTAAACGTGATGCACAATCATAAAATTTTACAAAACTCCCCCCAAGTTGTTCTTACGTTAACATGTCGGTTATTAATGGCGATGTTGCTTCCAGCCATGTTTACGTGCATGAAAGGCATGACTGTGTGGTGCCCGGAGAGCAGCGTGGAGCTAAGGGTCTTGCTCAGGGACCCAGAGTGGAGGCTTTGGGGATCGAACCAGGTACTTGAACCCTTTTCAGAGCACAAGCGCACTGCTAGGGGAACACCGAGGCCATCACCTCCCCCATTCATTAACTATATGACAGAAAAGACCTTAAACTTTCAGGTAGTCAAAGCTGTTTCCCTTAGCCTCTTTCACAGGCTGCATTCTCCAAGGTATCGTCTACCTGGACTTGATCCTTGGAGGTCCTTGAAAATAAGGAGGCCGGAAGAGTTTTTGCTACAGATTCAAACAGGTCCAGCCTTCTATGGCTTTCAACGCCCGTATGCTCTGTAGCCTGATAACTGTTACAGTTGACACACAAAGCAGGCAAAGACTGGATGCCGAACTTCTCACTACTGTTCTGGGTGCTAAAAACATTTCTGAGGAGCTTCAGCAGCCGTACCACTATTGCAGATATCAGATTTATAGTCCCCACACAGCAGAGATGTTGGAATTTGTGCTTAAATGTCAGTCAAACCCATTTACACAGGGAGAGATAAAACCTTTCGATAAAAATCACCACATATTTGACTCAATAACCATTTAAAACAACTATTTTCATTTATTTCAGACATAACCATTCACACACTTTTTTATTATATATTAAACGTATATTAAACTGCACTTCCAATATTCACCACTGTTAGGCACCATTTACTTTCTTCCTCTGAGCGCGGAGCAGCCGGCTTGCT